CTACTTGTTGGCTAATATTTGGGTGTATTTTTAATAGATTTAAACTGACTGCCGTAAAAACTCTATAATCAGGTATTACTTTTTCAAACCAATTCTTATAATAAGGATTTGATGTTATTGGAGCACATACGTAATCCCATGTGTGAACATATAAAATATCACTTGTCTCGTTACTTAAGTTTCCTCTCACCACCAATGGAAAGTCATTATATGAATTAATATCATGCAAATATCTATAAGTACTATCTTGATATAAATGTTCGACAACTTTCCAGTCATGTTCGAAATCTTTCTCATAATAATTTTCGAAATTATTGTAACCATCAATAAAAAATAGCCTATCAGTAAGTAGTGAATATATAAAACCACAAACTACTCCAACTAAACGGTTTCCATATCCTGTCACCATGTCTGGTTTAGCAACAATTACTTTTGGAAGTTCTAATAAATTAGATTCGTTAGATGGTTTTAATAGTTCATCAACTATTTTATTATGTTTCTTAACATATTCATCAAATATTATATCGAATTCCAAATATTTCACTTCTTCCGTGTAGTTCTTCACAGTGTCATTTTTTGAGATTTCCGCGTATTGCTTCTCAGTGTTATTTTTTATAATTGTCGTATTCCCCGTATCCATGAAATTCATAATACGAAAAGACTCGTTCATGAAGATTGAGAGAAATGCTAAACTAAAAAAGATGAACATACATAGTATGAATAGCATATAATATTTAATATGTTGCATAGTGGAAAAAATTATGACAAATAAAATATTTTGAAATTTCTTCGTGAGTTTAAAGTTTGGTTCTTCATTAATTTTTTTTTGTGGTGAACTTTTTATGTACCAGACAGTGAATAATCAATCAAATTGTGCTCATTTGATTAACGAAATAAAGAAAAGTATCTTCATATTTATGGAATTGCTCATTTACGTTAAACCGCCGATCAGACAGAATTCTGATTACCGTTATGGTTACGCTACGTAGGACGGTAACAATTGTTTTTGGGGTGAAACTCATTTGATTTGTTAAAATAAAAAACCTTATGTACTTAATTAGGTATGTATACCCGATAGATTCATTGATATCCAAAACACATTTTTGAACCTACCCTTGAAAAAGTATCCCCTTTAAACAATATAAGAGTCTATTCAATTGTAGATTCGAACATTTTTGAAAGTTTTCCGGAACTAATCAAGTAGTTATACAATCAACTTGATTAATACTTTTTTTCAGCATACCTTCTTGTATAGTATTCTCTTTTTCACCGAAATACTGTATCATATCAGCCGATTTGTTTCGACCCCAAAATCAACCAATCAAGATTGAGGTTTATCAAAAAATTTTATATATCTAAAATTTATTACAAGTCAAATTTCATAAGACGGTCTTTATAACTAACATTGTGTTTATAATTAAATATATAAGAAATTATGATATTTTATGTATTGGGAAATTCTATTTTCACCCGGGTTAAAGTCAATAATAACTTAACCGGATCGGCCGAAAAATCATTCTGCTAATTTTTTTACAAATGTCACAGGAATTATGAAAACAAATGCAATTAATAAAGTTGTGACCCGAAACCCGAAACCTTTCCGAAACTCTAACACTATTATTATACTGAAAGGCTTAGAATTTTAATTTTAAACTTTAAGACTTAAAGTATATGATAATTAGATTGCATTTCAAGAATGTTTTGGATACTTTATAGTAAATATGTATTAGTTATTAATAGAGTTCCAATCCGTTAACTATTGTTATCCGGCAAACACTTATGATCATAGATTTATTTCTTTTTGTTATTTTTTGGAATGTTATGTCGTAATCATGTTTATTCGAATTAAAACTAAGTTAGCAAATCACGACTTGAGAATCATGATCATGAATTGCCGGATAACACAAATATTGATCATGCATCGTAAATGATTGGCTGACATGTGCCGCTGCGCGGCACTGTCAGCCAATCATTTGCCCAATTGGACAAATTTTGCGATATTAATCCAATATTCTATACATATCCGAATAATTTATGTCGGATTATCTGGATATCAATAATAAACGGATATCCGGATAAATTCAGATATGGATAAATGGATAAATGGATGACGGATTTATCCGGATTGAAACTCTAGTTATTAACATTATAATTTGAATATTTCGGAAAAGTTTGGTTTCGGGTCAAAAGTATAATTTAATTATAAGCCGAAAGTAATTGACAATTACAAACCATCATAAATCCATCTTTCTCATTCTAAAACACCCGAATATTTCAACAAATGGTAAAAATACTTCTTTCTACAGCTTAGCGTAGGTGTTTTATTGATTTTTATCTTGTTTAAATGCTAAAAAAAGCCTTTTTATTAGTTGTAACAGGTGCTTCGTTTTGTTACTTTACCAACGTCACTTAAAATTTTATGTAATAGTTTATTAAAAAAAAAAAAGGACCCGAAAACTAAATCAGCATGTGTTCTGGTGAAACTGGTGACTATCGAAATCTGATTGGCTATTAAATGCAATATCCAATCAGATTTTAGTTTCACAACTCTAATTTAGACATATAAACTTTATTCGGACAAATTTGGACATATAGAAATTTATTTGTCCATATTAAATCTGTGTCAAATAAATCTGTGTCAAAATAAATCTTTTATTGGACATAGTCCACTGGTGTGCAGCGCTATACGGTTTATTGTTTTGCAAGTTGACGTCATGTACGCACGTACGCACGTACGTACGTACGTACGTACTACTTAGTCGCACTTCTTGAATGTGTAGCACAGACAAATTCTTTAAAGTTCGTTTACATCAGGATTAGCGTATATATTACTAGCAAAGTATTTAGTAAAATCGCTTAAGAAAAACTATTTGTTAAGCACTAAAAATAGTCTCCTATGCGTATTTTCGAGAAATATGCGATTTTTATAAAACGAACGTTTATTTTGAATTTTCATGATCATGTTACGTTGCATTTGATCTTTATTTGTGTCCGGATATACAGGTTCTCAATGAATATTAATCATCGGATTAATCTCTAATCAGAAGGTTCGAGTAAGAAATATCTCAAAGTGATAAAATATAAACATTTATTGAATTAGGACAGGGGAACGGAAATTATATTATTGAATTACGGAAATTATGTGATTTAGTGTAATGTTGTTAGTCGAAATACCCTATTTAGTCAGATATTTAGACAATTAAGAGTCTAAATATATTTCGACATGATATTATTCTTTGTCGAAATGTCAAAATGTCAAAATTCTAAATGCCTAAATAAATGTCTAAATAAATATTTTATGACTAAATCTATAAATTAACTATGTAGTAAAATTACAACAAAAATCTATATAGGTTCGATTGTAATGTAATAAGAATTAGTTCATAGCATGACTTTTATTTAAACTACTTATATAAATTGCTTAACGTATATTTTACATGTATCGTACGTACGACAGAAAAAATATGTATTTGTTAATAATTAAATCTATTTAAGGTGTGTGAAATTCACAAAATAAGTAGGTTTGAATACTTGTTAATAATTAAATTTTTTTTTAATTTAGACATTTCGACATTATTTAAACTTTTCGACATTATTTAGAATTTTGGCATTCCTAAATATTACAACTATTCTCAAATTCTGGGATAACTAGTAAAATTATTTCGGCCGAATTCGATAAGTTTTTGAATTCGGTATTATCGACATTAGATTTTTCGGCATTACAGTAATTTCGATAACACAGAATTCAAAAACTTATCGAATTCGGCCGAATGATCATCGGTCAATTTTTATTGTTGTCCCAGAAGTTATAAGAACAGCTGTAAATACCTGATTATAGAGTTTTTACGGCAGTCAGTTTAAATCTATTAAAAATACACCCAAATATTAGCCAACAAGTAG